TTTTATACAGTCTATGGTCTTGGCCTGTTCATTCGCTAAGCGTTTAGAAAGTCTCCGGAGCGATGAAGCAGCCAGTTTTGTAGACTTGTGCCAGAGAGTAGCTCCGTGAATGGAAAGCCGTTCACATTATGCAAGAATTCCTCGTCTTTGGGTCCATAAAGCGTTATTTAAAGCACAGACGCATACAGCCCCAGATCATTTCAGTGTCATTATCACCTGCCTTTATCACAGGATGCAATACAAAGATACTTGAGAGGATTAAAATTTAAATATCACCTGGCGCTGACAGATGCATTTTCACCTCATAAACATCCTTGTGGGTGTGAGTTTTCCGATACAAGAGATCCGCAGTGCTTCATTTACACTTTTTCAGCAGCTGTCTGGTCTGTCCCACTCAGGTGAAACACACAGTAAATAAGGTCATTTTTATGCACTTTTTTAACCCTATTTGTGCATTTTTCTCCTCTTCCGTCAGTTCTACGGAGCTCCAGAGCTGTACGAGTCCATGCTGAAATACTTAAACATCGTCTTCACGAGCCTCTTCACGCTGGAGTGCATCCTCAAGATCATTGCCTTCAACCCGCTGGTGAGCCGTTCAGACCAGATGCTGCAAACACTCGCTCACCGTTTTAATGCGTCTCTGTTTATGTGTCTGTTAAACTGATTTCCAAGACGCAGGCTGAAATTGCATCATTTAGAGACTCTTAGAGAAACTTATTTCTTGATGCGTTGTGATTTTATTTGCGCTGGAGCTGTAACTGGGAGAGAAATATTTAATATTTTAAAGTCTCGAGTTCAGGGGAAGTGTGAGATAATAACAAAAAAAAAAAAAGAAAGCAGGGGATGAAGGGAAGAGCGCACAAAAAGAATAAATCTCCTCCCAACGTGGTGCCTCCTGGCCCGCAGCGAGGCGTTTCATCTCTGGCTCTGTTCCACTTACCAGGCCCATTTATTAAATAGCTTTTCTCACACACCACTTACCTCCACCTGTTTAGCTGTTAAGCCCAGACGACTGAGCGCACATCTGCCTTTATAAACGCTCTGCTGCTGCTGCTGCTGCTGCTGCTCTTCAGAATCCAGCTGCAGATTCTGGCAGCAGCTTCTGCCCGCAAGAAATGCATGATTGACCAGACTGAAGGCATCCAGCAGCAGCAGCAGCAGCAGCTCATCATTTATGCACGAGATTGTGTCAGCATTTGTTGTATATGTGCAGATTTGTGTGCCCAGGGAGGTTTCTGTGTATTTTTGTAGGGTTTTGTTTTTTATTTTTTATGATATTGTGGTTTTAAATACGCTTTTCATATGCCAACACCTTCAGTTTTTACTTTTCAATCTGTAAAAGTAACCAAACACACAAAACAGTTGCACAGCAGAATCGTGTCAAGTTAAAGTTTTGGTATTTTCTCGACTAATCGTGTCACATTTTCCTGCTACACGAGAACTAAATTAGCATCTGTAGAGGACAACAACAAAGAAAATGAACCTGCAGGAGGTAGAATAGAGGTCCTCCATTGATCACAAGGTTAATTTCTCAGCTCCACATGTCCAAGCGTCTCATGCCGACACGTTGCGTGGCAGGTTTATGCTGTTGATGAGTGTGAACAGGTGAGTGTGAGACAAACCGTAAAGCTCTTTTAATTAACACTGTATAGGAAGTGTAGGAGGGGTTTAACCGTCTGGACCTCAAGACTTTTTTTTTGCCTCATTTTTATATAAAGTCCTGCATCTTTATGGAAACACCACAACGAGAGAACTCAGAAATGTGCAGTCAAACAATTTTATAAATATATATAATAGAAATACTCAAGCTGAATTATTTTAATTCTTGTTTTGTTTTTTTTTTAATTTGGATTTTTTTTTTTAATCTGTATATACATCATTTTTTTTCAAAATCCCACTGGTTTTACCAGTAATGGAAAACATTGAGCTCCTCATGCAATATATATTTTCACTATTTACATTTTTATGACCTTTATGTGTTTTTCTCTCTGCTCTGCTCATCAGCTGTAGAAGCATGTTTCACCGTCTTCCAACAAGTCTGTATACTCTTTATAAGCCATGCTGCATTTATTTTATTGCTGAAGTATGTTTTATTTTGATTTCACTGTGATTTTAAAAAAATAAAAAAAATATTTATTTATATATTTTACAAATTCTGGTTCAAAAAGTTCATTTTTGGTGATTTTCTAAAAATGAGACATTACATTGATTTTAATGAAATATTGCATTTTTAAGCCTATTTGTGTTTATTTTTTTTTGTTCTGATGGAACAGCACGTCGCATGTGGAGTTCACGACCTGTTGATTTTAATTTTAATAATTTTCTTTCCGTTTTAACAGTTTCCGGTTGCGATAAACAGTGTCATTTAAAACGGTTCAGAGGGTGAAACAGGTGGCGTGTTTGAATAGTTATCCATTTATCTTTTGATATTAAAAGTATGAGACGCAGCAATAATCACGAGAACACCCAGAATTGCAAAAACACTTCACATATTTACCAAACTTGTGGTTTTCTGTGTCTTCTCTCTCTCAGAACTACCTGAAGGAGCCCTGGAACGTGTTTGACTTTGTGACTGTGATCGGAAGCATCACAGACATTTTGGTCACAGAGATAAATGTAAGCGCTGCAGCCGCCACCCAAAGTGTCTTTACAGCGACCGGCCCCCCGACGGTCGCCTCCTACATGAGTATCAAGCTCCATTTTTTGTTCACAGCTGCAGGTTTGCTGCAGCAGCGCAGCATGCTGGGCAGGTTTAGTCCAATTAGTGGAGCTGTGATAACGGTCACGTAGGAGCTGGAAAGCAGTTTGTGTGCAATATTTTACTTATACAGGGAATTTAACTTACTTCAAGTGCTGATTATTGTCCTTAGCCTTTAACCTTCTCTTTATTTTTGATGTTTTTGTGTATGAAAAGCTGGAAAATGATGAAAAACACCCATCGCATCCAAGGCTGCTGTCTGCAAATTATTCATTTCCTTCAACAGTTTGAAAGCCAAAGATGGCAGCAAATCCTGCCAATAGGTTTTTAATTTACATCTAATTGTTCTCATTCATGATGGGTCTTTTTCTGTTTTTTTCCACCTTCAAAATCCTGGATGTAGAAGTCATGCTTTGCTATGCTCTCATAGTCTCAGTCCTCGATTCAGAAGCTCCGCCAAGCAAAAGAATAATAAATCAGGAAAATCAATACGTGAACCGAAGGCAGCCACAAGTTGAGGAGGAGTGTTGCTGCTTTTACCTTTTCCTCTTTTGAATAACAGAAAAACCAAACAACGTGTGATTGAGCTCATTGAGGACTGAGGCGGATTACTGTAGCTTTCTGTGTTGCAAAGTCTTTGTGTGACTTCTTTCTCTTCATGTGATCATTAGTCTTCTTTTCTGTCTCTTTTCTCTCGCTTTCCCTCTCTGTTTTTTTTTTCTTTCGTTGCTGTTTCCATCTTCTGCTGTGTCTTTCCTGGCGCCTGTGCCCTCACTCTGCCCCCTCTGTCACATCTGACACCTCTAGACGGTAAGTGGCTTTTCTTGTCGCCCGCTGGTTTTGTCGATTCCCCCGTCAGTGTGTGTTGTTTTCTCCCACAGGCTCAGATTAAAGCATCTACCTGCAGAATCCTCGACGTGAGACGATAAAGCAAGAAAAAGACCCATTAAACTGCGTTTTTAACAGTAACTAGACCAATCACAGCTGCATAAGCTCCAACGTCAAAGCGTTCGCTGCATGAAAAACGAGTCATTTAATCAGAAGGAGTCGATGGAGTTTCTGTCGATTGCATCAAAAATCTCGAGCTATAAATGGAACAAAAGCCCTTCAAAATCCTAGAAATTGGTTGGTTTGTATTTCTCCTAGATTACGTTATTTCAGCCCCTCTGACATTTTTTTGATACAAATATTTTAAAGCCTCACTCCTGTGACAGCTGATGGGTTTTTTTAGCGGCACAAGTGAGTAATCCTTCAAATTTATTTACATTTTTAAAGGAAAAAAGGAGATTTTCATACATGTGATTCAGCCATTGTCATCTGCTTGGATGTGAAGGGAGTTAGATGGAGGATTTTTGCATGAAAAAGCTTGTTTCAACCAGTATTATTGTGCTTTTGAGACATTTTTGATTGTATTTGAGCAAGAGGCTGCACACACCCTGGACGATCGGTCGCATTTACACCTACGGCCAATTTAGAATCACAAACTAACTGAACACGTGTGTCTTGAAAGAAGTGCTGGTTGACACCCAAGGATCTTCTAGCTGTGAGGTGACAATATATTCACTCAACTGTTATATCCATTTATTATAAAGATGATGATTTAGAATTTAATCTGAGCATTTGTAGCTTTAGCTGAAGCGCTAAAGAGCCCACAAGAGCGATCTGGTATCACCAGTTACACTAAAACGTCTACATATGTTAGCTAACAGTGACCAGGTTTCTCTGGTTATGTGCAACTCGAATGCTGGGTGGCAACCAATACTGTTTATTTTTGAAGCACAATTATATCATGATTATTTTAACTCACACTGCATCAAACTCGAAATTCAGTTGCACCAAAGCTTAAAGCTCCTCTTTCAGCTGCGACTCCTGCTTTTGGAGGTTTTAGATTTTAAAGGCTGCCTTTTTGAGACAAATCAAAATAATCAAGGTTCTTGAAGAAAGTCAAGGGACAGACTTAACTCAGTTGAGTTTTTTGATGCTGCTGATCAGTAAGATTGGACCAACAGTCAATAGAGCCATGCCATCAAAACCCTCAGTTTCTCGAGACCCTAAGATTTAGATTTTGGATGACACAACTGGTTAAAGTTCAGTTTTTTGCTCACTTTTATACATATCAATCCTACCCGATGGCATGTAGATGAATTCATTTTGTTATTTATTTTATTTGGCTGAGCAAGCATCTCCAAATTGTTCCAACTATTGTTTATTTTTACTTCACATCGATGCCAAAAACTTGACTTTATGAAACTGAGATTAGAGTTTAGTTGTGCAACAGAGTTCTGCTGAATTTCAAATCTGGATTCATTCATTGCAAACCATTTTTGCTAAATTCTGATTTGACTTTATCTTAGTTTAAATAGTTGGTGCAGCACAACCAAATTCTGCTTTTCATTTTAAAGAAGGAAAATGTGTTGCTTCTTAAATCGTCAAACCTCTGGTCACCCCTCACAGACTTTCTGTTTTTCTCTCTCAGAACAAAATGATCAACCTGAGTTTCCTGAGGCTGTTCAGAGCGGCTCGGCTCATCAAGCTGCTGCGACAGGGATACACCATCCGCATCCTGCTGTGGACCTTCGTCCAGTCCTTCAAGGTGAGAAGAAAAACACAGAAACTTAGCGCACGAACCTGTGGATGGGTGTGTGAAGCATATTGGTTCACAGAAAGAGACAGAGGCGCTTTTCCTGGAAGGACACCAGTGATTAGTCACTTAGAGTCACTTAGATTGATTTACAGTTGAATAAATGCATGTCACACAGAATACAGATAGAAAAAAAGGGTTCAAAAACGGCCCGAGACGCGCTGCAGAAATCCTGTGTTCGTGTTAAAATCGAACTAAATAGCTCTCAGCAGACAGCAGTTCTGATTTTCACACACTGCCGGTTCGCGCTCCAAATCCCCCAGGACGAGTTGAGTTAAATGTGGAGCGCCGGGGCTGCAGCCGAGGGAATTTATAGCAGGTTTAATGTCAGTGGTGAAAGCTTTTAAGCCCAATGAAAATGGACAGTAGCTAGAGATTGTTAAAAGGTGGCGATTTAATTATAACAAACGTTCTCCTCCTCCTCCTCGTCCTCGCAGCAGCAGAGGATATAAATAGCTGGTTAGAAGAATCAACCCTGCAGGTCGGGTTGACTCTTAAATAAGCCTGTAAACTCTTACGAGGGTGCTCGTCCTCTGTGGAGAATCAGATTTGACAGTCTCGTGCTCAGACAAGAAAAAGAGATCAGAAGAGCGCCTGTGTGTGTTTGTGAATGGGATCAAGTGAAGTGTGTTTGCAGAAACTGCTGGGAACACCAACCTGTTTGTATCTTTATCCTGTATTTATGTGTTTGTTTCCAGGCTTTGCCGTACGTCTGCCTGCTCATCGCCATGCTGTTCTTCATCTACGCCATCATCGGCATGCAGGTGAGTTGTGACCTGAATGTCGTGATTCGGTGATGAAAGCCTCCCACTGAGCTGTCAGTCAAACAACAGTGGGTTTGTGTCACATGCTGCAGATTGTGCTTAATTGACTTCTAGGTGCTTTAATAATTAGCCTCCAATTCTCCTAAATATGCTACATGTGTTTGTCAAGGACAGATATCACCTAAAATACAACAATGATGCATGTAGTTTGGTGATTTTTCATTTTTTCTTTTACCTTTACACGGTCAGATCTGTTTATTGCAGCCTTATAGTGCTTTTATTGCACATTAAAACTACCAAAAAAATTATTTATTTTCTTTTTAATTACTTGAAACTATAAACTAAAGCATTTGTGAAATCAAACTTTACAACAAATAGGCTAAAAAACAAAATGGAGAGTCCGTCTACAAGCTGTGGGATGGAGGAGCCATCACAGCTAATGTACGACTGTGGTGCAAATGTTCAACAAAATGACAATAAGTCGAATTATGTAGACCCACCTGAGAGAAAGTAAATCTCTTGTTAATCCAGCCGATGCTACTACATGCTAGCAAGCTTCGCTAATTACATAGTTTAGTTAATTGACTACGTTTTGTCCAGGCAGGTTCTGTATACGACACTCAGAACCACTGGATGTCTCAGACCAAAACAAACTGGTCCATCAGCCACACTGCGTTTCATTTCATAGCCATAAAGGTTGTCTACTTGAGAACTAACATAAAACCAAACCACAACCCTTTGCTCACGTTAGCGTTGTAAAATACACTGAATTCAACACACCGAGCAGATAAGAGCAGCAAAACAGCAGCAGAAACTGAGCTCAAACAAAACAAGCGCACATAAATGAAGTAAATAACAGAAGAAAATACTTGGCTGAACACGGCAGACTACATGAACCCATGTGCAGGGAGGTCATCAGTTTCAACAGGAGGGACTAACAGGCACTAACATGCACACACGGCAGGACTGTTGTGGAAATATTTCTCCAGTTCCCAAATAATGTTGGTTAAAAAGGACAAGTTCATTGTCCTTAATTAAGAAAAAATCACACAATGCTGAGTTATTGATAAAGTTAGTATTATATAAAATACGGGGAAGAGAAACCAAACTGTTGTCTCTGCCAAAGAAAAATAAGAATGACACTTTATTTATAACAACGAAAACAAATTCTTTTCCTTTTGGCTTGTTGTAAATAGATTGTTTACACGCTATATTAAACTCTGAGTCCTACATTCTTTTGACAGAATAACTTCCTAGAAATGAGACCAATGCTTCTCCATAGAAGGACCTGTGGCCTCGGTTATGTTACATAAGGTGACCAAAAAACCTCTTCAAACTGAAACTCCACACCTGACTTGACCTGAAATCTCTATTTCTGACTCTTGTTGCACAACAAACACATCTCACGTTACTG